GGCCCCTCCCCCAGAAGACTGGCAGGAACTTCCGGCTAATACCAAGTTTACCCATCACAGAGACCCGAAAACTTCAGCTCTCAGGGAAAACAGTATATAGCATTTATGGTTTTTTTCTTATTATTCTTTAGTCTTTCAGTTTTATATTTTTCCTTTTCAGCTATTATTTTTTTAGTTCTTTATTTTTTAGTATTTATTTTTAAAATGTACTTTATATATACTTTTATTATATATTTATTTCATTGTATTTTATTTTTGTACATTTATAAGTTTTTCTTTTTTTCTTATTTTGGGATCTAGTTTCTTTTAACAAATAGACCAAAATACACCCAGGATCTAGTTTATTATTCTGTTCTGTTTTACTTCTTGTTTGATTTTTTTCTTGTTTTGTTTTGTGTTTTCTTCTGGTTTGTTTTGTTTGTTTTTTTCTGGTGTTGTTCTTATTTTTGTCTTTTCTCTTTCTCCTATTCTTTTCTGGACATAATGACAGGACAGAAAAACTCACCCTAAAAGAAAGAACAGGAGGAAATACTCACTGCCAGGGATTTAATCAATATGGATATAAGTAAGATGTTGGAACTAGAATTGAAAACAACGATTATAAAGGTACTAGCTGGGCTTGAAAACAGCACAGAAGACACTAGAAAATCCCTTACAGTATAAATAAAAGAACTAAAATCTAATCAGGCTGAAATTAAAAATGCTATTACTGAGATGCAGTCAAAAAGGGAGGCTCTAACAGAAAGGATAAATGGGGCAGAAGAGAGAGTCAGTGATACAGAAGACAAAATGATGGAAAATAAAGTAGCTGAGAAAAAGAAAAACAACTACTGGATCATGAAGGGAGACTTCAAGAAACCAGCGACAGCATAAAGCAAAATAATATCTGGATATAGGGGACCCAGAGAATGAAGAGGGGGAGGCATAAGGTTTATTTGAACAAATTATAGTTGAGAACTTCCCTAATCTGGAGAATGAAACAGGCATTCAAATCCAGGAGGCACAGAGAAACCCCTTCAAAATCAATAAAAATAGGTCAACACCCCAACATATAATAGTGAAGCTTGCAAATTTCAGAGATAAAGAGAAAATCCTGAAAGCAGCTCGGGACAAGAGGTCCGTAACCTACAAGGGCAGAAACATGAGGCTGGCAGCAGACCTGTCCACAGAGACCTGGCAGGCCAGAAAGAACTGGCTTGATATATTCAAGGTGCTAAATGGGAAAAATATGCAGCCAAGGATACTTTATCCAGCAAGGCTGTCATTCAAAATAGGAGAGTTTCCAGGACAAACAATAACTAAAGGAATTCATGAACACTAAACCAGCCCTGTAAGATATATTAAAGGGGATCCTTTGAAGAGAGAGCCCAAAAGTAACAGAGACAATCTACAGAAACAGCAACTTTACAGTAATACAATGGCTCTAAATTTGTATCTTTCAATAATTACTTTGAATGTAAATGGGCTAAATGCTCCAACCAAAAGATAAAGGGTATCAGACTGGATACAAAACAAGACCCAGGGGCACCTGGGTGGCTCAGTTGTTTAAACACCTGCCTTTGGCTCCATGATCTCTGGGTCCTGGGATTGAGCCCCACATGGGGGGGGTCCCCTTGCTCAGTGGGGAGTCTGCTTCTACCTCTCCTTCTGGCCCTTCCCCCTCATCCCACGCTCTGTCAAGTAAGTAAAGTCTTAGAAAATAAGACCCATCAATAAGCGGTCTACAAGAGACTCATTTTAAACCCAAGGACACCTCCAGATTAAAAGTGATGGGGTGAAGAACCATTTACCATGCTAATGGACATCAAAAGAAAGCTGGGGTAGCAATCCTTATATCAGACAAACTAGATTTTAAACCAAAGACTGTAATAAGAGATGCAGGAGGACACTATATCATAATAAAAGGGTCTATCCAGGGGCGCCTGGGTGGCTCAGTCATTAAGCATCTGCCTTCAGCTCAGGTCATGGTCTCAGGGTCCTGGGATCGAGCCCTGCATCGGGCTCCCTACTCGGCGGGAAGCCTGCTTCTCCCTCTCCCACTCCCCCTGCTTGTGTTCCCTCTCTCACTGTGTCTCTCTTTGTCAAATAAATAAAATCTTAAAAAAAAAAAAAAAGGGTCTATCCAACAAGATCTAACAATTGTAAATATTTATGCCCCTAACTTGGGAGCAATCAAATATATAAACTAATTAATAACAAAATTAAAGAAACACACTGATAATAATACAATAATAGTGGGGGACTTTAACACTCCACTCACAGCAATGGATAGATCAGCTAAGCAGAAGATCAACAAGGAAACAAGGGCTTTGAATGACACACTGGACCAGATGGACTTCACAGATAGATACAGAACATACCAACCTAAAACAACAGAATACTCATTCTTCTCGAGTGCACATGGAACATTCTCCAGAATAGATCACATACTGGGTCACAAATCAGGTCTCAACTGGCACAAAAAGATTGAGATTATACCATGCATATTTTCAGACCACAATGCTTTAAAACTTGAACTCAATCACAAGAGGAAATTTGGAAGGAACACAAATACATGAAGGTTAAAGAGCATTCTACTAAAGAATGAATGGGTCAACCACCAAATTAAAGAAGAATTTAAAAAATACATACATAAAAAATTCATACAAATGAAGATAAAAACACAACAGTTCAGAACCTTTGGGGTGCAGCAAAGGTGGACCTAAGAGGGACGTATATAGCAATACAGGCCTTTCTCAAGAAGCAAGAAAAGGCTCGAATACACAAGCTAACCCTACACCTAAAAGGAGCTGGAAAAAGAACAGCAAATAAAACCTAAATCCAGCAGGAGAAGAGAAATAATAAAGATTAGAGCAGAAATCAATGATATAGAAATAAAAAAACCAACAGAACAGATCAACGAAACTAGAAGCTGGTTCTTTGAAAGAATTAACAAGATTGATAAACTCCTAGCCAGACTTATCAAAAAGAAAAGAGAGGGCTCCTGGGTGGCTCAGTCGTTAAGCGTCTGCCTTTGGCTCAGGTCATGATCCCAGGGTGCTGGGATGGAGCCCCGAATCGGGCTCCCTGCGCTGCGGGAAGCCTGCTTCTCCCTCTCCCACTCCCCCTGCTTGTGTTCCCTCTCTCGCTGTCTCCCTCTGTCAAATAAATAAATAAAATCTTTTTTTAAAAAAAGATAAAGGACCCAAATAAAATCATGAATGAAAGAGTCAACACCTAAGAAAAACCAACAAATATAAGACACTATTATGAGCAATTTTATGCCAACAAATTAGGCAATCTGGAAGAAATGGATGCATTCCTAGAAACATATAAACTACCAAACTGAAACAGAAATAAAAAACCTGAACACACCCATAACCAGCAAAGAAATTGAATCAGTAATCAAAAATCTCCTAACAAACAAGAGTCTAGGGCCAGATGGCCTCCCAGTGGAATTCTTCTTTTTTTTTTTTTTAAAGATTTTATTTATTTATTTGACAGAGAAAGAGAGAGCGAGAGCAGGAACACAAGCAGGGGGAGTGGGAGAGGGAGAAGCAGGCTTTCCACTAAGCAGGGAGCCCGATGTGGGGCTCAATCCCAAGACCCTGGGATCATGACCTGAGCCGAAGGCAGACGCTTAATGACTGAGCCACTCAGGCGCCCCCTCCCAGTGGAATTCTGCCAAACATTTAAAGAAGAATTAATACTGGGGTGTCTTGGTGGCTCAGTCGGTCAAATGTCTGCCTTTGGCTCAGGTAATGATCCCAGGGGCCTGGGACTGAGCCCCACATTGGGCTCCCTGCTCAGCAGGGAGTCTGCTTCTCCCTCTCCCTCTACTCCTCCCCCCTGCTCAAGCACTCGCTCTCTCAAATAAATAAAATCCTAAAAAAGAAGAAGAATTAATACCTATTCTTCTGAAACTGTTTCAAAAAACAGAAATGGGAGGCAGCTGGGTGGCTCAGTCAGTTAAGCATCTGCCTTCAGCTCAGGTCATGATCTCAGGATCCTAGGATCGAGCCCCACATTGGGCTCTCTGCTCAATGGGGAGTCTGCTTCTCCCTCTCCCTCTGCCTGCCACTCACCCTGCTTATGCTCTCTCTCTCGCTCTCAAATAAATAAAGCATTTTTAAAAAATAGAAATGGAAGAAAAACTTCCAAACTCATTCTATGAGGCCAGCATTACCTTGATCCCAAAACGAGACAAAGACCCCACCAAAAAGAATTACAGACGAATATCCCTGATGAACATGGATGCAAAAATTCTCACCAAGATACTAGCTAATAGGATCCAACAGTACATTAAAAGGATTATTCACTATGACCAAGTGCAATTTATTCCTGGGCTGCAAGGGTGGTTCAACATCTGTAAACCAATCAATGTGATGTACCACATTAATAAAATAAAGGACGAGAACCATATGATCCGCTCAATGGAAGCAGAAAAAGCACCTGACAAAATACAGCATCCTTTCTTGACAAAAACTCTCCGCAGTGTAGGGATAGAGGGTACATACCTCAATATAATAAAAGCCATATATGAAAAACCCACAGTGAATAACATCCTCAATGAGGAAAAACTAAGAGCTTTTCCCCTCAGGTCAGGAACACAGCAGGGATGTCCACTCTCACCACTGCTATTCAACATAATACTGGAAGTCTTAGCCTCAGCAATCAGACAACAAAAAGAAATAAAAGGCATCCAAATTGGCAAAGAAGAAGTCAAACTCTCACTCTTTGCAGATGATATGATACTTTATGTGGAAAACCCAAAAGACTCCACCCCAAAACTGCTAAAACTCATACAGGAATTCAGTAAAGTGGCGGGATATAAAATCAATGCACAGAAATCTGCTGCATTTCTATATACCAATCATGAAGCAGCAGAAAGAGAAATCAAGGAATCGATCCCATCTACAATTGCACCAAAATCACAAGATACCTCGGAATAAACCTAACCAAAGAGGTAAAGGATCTGTATTCTGAAAAATACAGAGCACTTATGAAAGAAATTGAGGAAGACACAAAGAAATGGAAAAACGTTCCATGCTCATGGATTGGAAGAACAAATATTGTTAAAATGTCTATGCTATCCAGAGCAATCTACACATTCAATGCAATCCCTATCAAAATACCATTGATATTTTCCACAGAGCTGGAACAAATAATCCTAAAATTTGTATGGAACCAGAAAAGACTCCGAATAGCCAGAGGAATGTTGAAAAAGAAAACCAAAGCTGGAGGCATCACAATTCCAACTTCAAGCTCTATTATAAAGCTGTCATCATCAAGACAGTATGGTACTGGCACAAAAACAGACACATAGATCAGTGGAACAGAATAGAGAGCCCAGGGGTGCCTGGGTGGCTCAGTCGGTTAAGCGGCTGCCTTCAGCTCAGGTCATGATCCCGGGGTCCTGGGATCGAGTCCCGCGTCGGGCTCCCTGCTCGGTGGGAGGCCTGCTTCTCCCTCTCCCACTCCCTCTGCCTCTCCCCCTGCTCATGCTCTCTCTCTCTCTGTATCTGTGTCTCAAATGAATAAATAAAAAAAAAAATCTTAAAAAAAAAAAAAAAAAAGAATAGAGAGCCCAGAAATGGACCCTCAACTCTATGGTCAACTAATCTTCGACAAAGCAGGAAAGAATGTCCAATAGAAAAAAGACAGTCTCTTCAACAAATGGTGTTGGGAAAATTGGACAGCCACATGCAGAAGAATGAAACTGGACCATTTTCTTACACCACACACAAAAATAGACTCAAAATGGATGAAAGACCTAAATGTGAGGCAGGAATCCATCAAAATCCTAGAGGAGAACACAGGCAACAACCTCTGTGACCTCGGCCATAGCAACTTCTTGCTAGATGCGTCTTCAAAGGCAAGGGAAACAAAAGCAAAATTAACTACGGGGACTTCATCAAGATAAAAAAATTCTGCAGAGCAAAGAAACAGTTGACAAAACTAAAAGGCAACCTACAGAATGGGAGAAGATATTTACAAATGTCTTATCAGATAAAGGGCTAGTATCCAAAATCTATAAAGAACTTATCAAACTCAACACCCAAAAACCAATCCAGTCAAAAAATGAAGACATTTCTCCAAAAAAGACATACAAATGGCCAACAGATACATGAAAAAATGGTCGACATCACTCAGCATCAGGGAAATACAAATCAAAACCACAATGAGATACCACCTCACACTGGTCAGAATGGCTAAAAATAACAACTCACGAAACAACAGATGTTGGCGAGGATGTGGAGAAAGGGGAACCCTCCTACACTGTTGGTGGGAACGCAAACTGGTGCAGCCACTCTGGAAAACAGTATGAAGGCTCCTCACAAAGTTAAAAATAGAACTACCTTACAATCCGGCAATTGCACTACTGGGTATTTACCCCAAAGATACAAATGTAGGGATCCAAAGGGGCACCTGCATCCCAATGTTTATAGCAGCAATGTCCACAATAGCCCAGATGTCCACTGACAGATGAATGGAGAAAGATGTGGGAGATATGTGTGTGTGTGTGTGTGTATGTATATATATACACACAATGGACTATGACTCAACCATCAAGAAGAATGAAATCTTGCCATTTGCAATGACATGGATGGAACTAGAGGGTATTATGCTAAGTGAAATAAGTCAATCAGAGAAAGACAAATACTGTATGATTTCACTTGTATGTGTAATTTAAGAAACGAAACAGATGAACATAGGGGAAGGGAAGGAAAAATAAAATAAGACGAAAACAGAGAGGGAGACAAACCACAAGAGACTCTTAACTATAGAGAACAAACTGAGGGTTGCCGGAGGGGAGATGGGGGGGAAATGGGGTAACTGGGTGATGGGCATTAAGGAGGGCACTTGACGTAATGAACACTGGGTGTTATATGTGATGAATCACTCATTCTACCTCTGAAACTATTAGTATACTATATGTTAATTAAGTTGAATTTAAATAAAAAAACAGAGATAAGGGAACATAAGGAGACCACCTTGTTTGTCTTAAATGTTATAGACGGGATATTTTCATGATAGTTACAGATCGACCACTGAAAGTTACCAAACTTCAATGGAGAAGTCACCATGGTGCTGCCAGTGGTGACTTACAGATTTCAGTCCCCTGGTCAGTTTCCTATACAAGACCGACCATAAAAGCCCTCAGTGGCAACCCTGTCAGGACCCCTCTCACTCTAGTTTTTTTTTTTTTTCTTTCCTTTCTGTTCTCACCTTCACTTAATAAACTTTCACTTCACTTCACCCTTTTGTGTGCGCGAGATTCATTCTTCGACTCCATAAGACAAGAACCCTGCAAACCTGCAACAGCTGCAAATGGCAAGATTTCACTCTTTTTTACCACTGAATTGAGGGGGGGAAATCTGTGTCCAAAGATGGCTGACAAAGCCAGCAAGGGAGTCCCAGTCCCAGCCCCTGCCCCGGGGCTCTTCCGGGTTCTTCTCCCTGCCCGCTTCGCGCACGCGCCGAAAGTGCCCAGTATGCGGAAGTAGAAGTATATAAATTGCCCCCTTTGTTTGTGCTCGGGGCTCAGGCCTTTGGAGACCACTCTCCTCTGAGCCCGCCGGCGTTAAATAAACCTCCTATCCTCCAAGATCTCCGGGTGCCGCTTGGTTCTTCCGTCGGCCGATCCAGTCCAGGTTCTGTAACATTTGGTTCCCACACCGGGAAACCCAACCACGCTGGCCCATTGTTGCCACTGGTTTGGGAGCAACGGCGGGGCGGTGACGGAACGAGGGATCGTAATGGAGAAGACGTGCCCTGGCCTAATATTTGGCAGTCTCCCGCCCCGGTCGCTTCGGACCGGCCCCGCTCTGCTGTTCCTGCCGGACTCAAGGAGACTCGGCAGGTGAGGACCTGGTCCCAACAACGGATCACGGTAAGGCCTGGGGCCCCAGACCCAGACAGACCCACCTGTCGGGGTGGAAGGGGAGCCTGATCATCTCCCGGACACCTCTTAGAGGTCTCACAGGTAGGGATGCCCAGGGAGGGAATGTAATAACCTCTGGAGTGTGAATGTGTGAGTAAGTGTGCAGTCCAACCTGGCTTGCTCAAGCAGACTGATTCTGTGACTCCACGGGCGGGCACCCTTAGGGTCCCCAGAAGCCTACAGAGTCTGAATGGGCCCGTCTGTGATTCCGTGGTGAATGGCATACAGTCTATGGCGGCATCAGAATAGTTTCTGATCATAAGTCACAACACTGAGACCGCTACAGCTAAGCCTCACCTAAGCTCTTTTGAGACATGGCCAGACAGGCATCTGATTGGTCTCCTCATCTCAGGAGGCAACCCCCCCTTGTCTGTCTCTGCGCAACCACACACGGGGACATCACCATGGGGTCAGGGAAGAGTAAACCTACGGTTCTAGAGACCATGATCAAAAATTTCCAGATGGGGTTCTTGGGAGACTATGGAGTCAGGATGAATCCCAGCACACTGAGAGCCCTATGTGAATTGGAATGGCCCACCTTTGATGTCAGGTGGCCTTCAGAAGGGACACTGGATGTCCCAATGATCCATCGAATGTGGGGAGTCATAACAGGAGAACCAGGACACCCCGACCAGTTCCTGTACATTGACTCCTGGCTAGGAATGCCCAGACCCTTCCTCCTTGGGTCCGATTCACTTGCATTAGGCAGGGACAGGCCAGGATCTTAGTCACCTCATCTAAGTGGCCCAAAGAAGACTGACAGAAGCCCCGGCCTCCGCAGATTCTAGCTGGAGATCCCGAAGATGAACCAATCCTGCCTCCACCGTACGAACCCCAAAGTTCTGCACCCCCAGTTCCAGACACTCCACTGCCATCAGTCTCCCCGCCACCCCGAGGCCCAGAAGATCCACTCTCTCCTGGACCAGCAGCCAGGCTGTGCCCCAGGCCGGGTGCAAGCGCCCTCCAAATGCTGGTTACAAGAGACTCGGGAACCTGAGAGGCGCGATGAAGACAGGACAGTCCAACCCAGCTGTTCCATGATGTATTATCAACCTTTCTCCACCACTGACCTCCTCAGCTGGAAACACAACACTCCTTCCTACTCTGAGAAACCACAGGCTATGGTAGACCTCATGGAATCCCTCTTCCAGACTCATCAGCCAACCTGGGAAGACAGTCAACAGTTACTCCGCACCCTGTTTAACAGAGAGGAAAGGAGAATGATGAAAGGTGCACGGCAGTACCTGGAAGAGCACGCACCAGCGGGAGTCATCGATCCTGCTGCCTGGGCTAACACAGCCACACCCAAGCAGTGCCCAGCATGGGACTTCACCACGGATGAGGGACAGGCCCACATTCACTGATACCAGGAGGCCCTCCTCCGGGGAGTCCAGGCAGGAGCTAAGAAACCCATGAATATGACTAAGGTATCCTCGGTCACTCAACAACCAGGGAGTCCCCCGGGGACTACTACGAAAGATTATGTGAAGACTACAGGATATATATTCCATTTGATCCCGAAGCACAGGAAAGCCAACAGATGGTAAACACCTCCTTCGTGGCTCAGGCCGCCCCAGACATCAGTAGAAAACTTCAGAAACTAGAGGGTTTTGCCGGGATGAACATCACCCAGCTAATAAGAGATTGCCAATAAGGTCTACATGAACAGGGAAGTCACAGCTGAAAGGGAAGCCAACAAAAAGATGAAAAAGAAAGCCTCCTCGCCGCTGCCCTGAAAGAAAAGGATGACACAAAGGAGGGGAGATCCCGACCACCGAAAGGGGGGATACCCAGAACCCCCTTGGCAAGGGATCAATGTGCCTACTGTTAAGGAGAAAGGGCACTGGAAAAATGAATGTCCCAACCGGGAAAAGGCTCAGAAGCCCAGCCATTACAAGGAAGAACCCCGAGAGGAGGACCTTATAGGCCTTACGGGAATAGACTCAGACTGAGGGGGACCAGGCTCTTTCCTCCTTGGCCCCCATGAGCCCACGGTCAGAATGAAAGCAGGGGGCCAACCAGTGACTTTTATGGTTGATACTGGGGCCGAGCACTTTGTTATCACCTCCCCAGTGGCCCCTTTCAGCAAAAGGACTGCGAACATCCTTGGGGCCACCGGGACGCAGGTGATACAACAGCCCTTTTGCCAGGCTCACCAGTGCGAACTCGGGGGCCACAAGGTCTGACATGAATTCCTTTATCTGCCCGATTGCCCCATCCCCCTCCTGGGCCGAGACATACTCTCCAAGCTTCGGGCTCAGATAACCTTTGAGCCCACGGGACATACTAGCCTCTGATTGAACCCAAGGCAAGACGGGGTCTCTGGTACTAGCAATTACCACGCGAGGGGAAGAAGAATGGAGGCTATTCTGTGCCCAGGCCCAACCGAGCAGCGCGCCGGAGTTCAGACTTGCCTTCCCTTCAGTATGGGCTGAAGACAACCCGCCCGGACCAGCCCAGAAACAGGCCCCTATCATTGTTGAACTGATCCCAGGAGCCCAACCTCAGAGGCAAAGGCAATACCCCCTCCCACAAGAAACTAAGATTGGCATCCAAGAACATCTGGCCAAACTCAAAGAAGCAGGTATTCTAGTCGAGTGCCAGTCGGCCTGGAATACCCCACTCCTGCCAGTCAAGAAGCCAGGAGCAGAATACCGACCAGTTCAAGACCTGTGGGCCATCAACAAGGTGACCATCTCTCTGCACTCAGTGGTCCCGAATCCATACACCCTCCTCAGCCAAATCCCAGGGTCGGCCAGATGGTTCACTTGCCTAGATTTGAAGAATGCCTTTTTCTGCCTCTGCTTAACTCCCTAGAGCCAGCCACTGTTTGCCTTTGAATGGTCTGAACCTGATACAGGGCGCCAGATGCAACTGACTTGGACACGCCTCCCGCAGGGGTTTAAAAACTCACCAACGGGGCGCCTGGGTGGCTCAGATGGTTAAGCGTCTGCCTTCGGCTCAGGTCATGATCCCAGGGTCCTGGGATCAAGCCCCGCGTCGGGCTCCCTGCTTTGCGGGGAGCCTGCTTCTCCCTCTGACCCTCTCCCCTCTCATGCTGTTTCTCTCTCGCTCGCTCTCTAAAAAATAAATAAAAATCTTTAAAAAAAAAAAAAATTTAAAAACTCACCAACCCTCTTTGGGGAAGCACTGGCCGCAGACCTCACCAGCTTCCCAAGAGAGGCCACACGATGCATTCTCCTCCGGTATGTGGATGACCTCCTCCTCGCCAGTGACACACAAGACGACTGCACAAAAGGCACCAAGGCCCTCCTACAGCTCCTGTCAGACTCGGGATACCGAGTCTCATAGAAGAAGGCACACTCTGCCAACAATAGGTCCGATACCTTGGTTTCCTCCTCACCCAAGGGAAGAGAGAACTAGGGCCGGAGAGAAAGAAAGTCATCATCTCCCTGCCACAGACCCAGACAAAGAGGGGCCTATGAGAATTCCTGGGGGCTGCAGGATTCTGCCGCATCTGGATCCCTGGGTTCTCGGCAATAGCAAGACCCCTCTACGATCTCTTAGGGGGACCAGATTGAGAACCTCCTGCCGGGACTGAGGAAGCAGAAGCTGCCTTCGCAGAGATAAAGACCGCCCTGGGGCAGGCTCCAGCCCTGGGCCTACCAGATGTAGAAAAACCCTTCAATCTCTGTGCATGAAAAGGAAAAAATAGCATTCAGGGTACTCAACCAGACTGTTGGACCCTGGCAATGGCCAGTTGCTTACCTGTCGAAGAAGCTGGACCCCGTAGCAGTGGGATGGCCGCTGTGCCTCAGGGTGCTGGCAGCCACAGTCTTACTCATCAAGGAGGCGGACAAACTTACCCTGGAGCAAGAACTTAACGTCAAGGTCCCTCATGCAGTTGTGTCCCTCATTAATGCACAGGGACACTGCTTCCTTTCTAACTCTTGGCTAGCACAATACCAAGGGCTCCTCTGTGAAAACCCGCAGGTCACCCTTGAAACAGTAAAGACATTAAACCCAGCAACCTTTCTCCCCATGGAAGAGGGGGAACCAGACCATGACAGCTCCGAGGTGACTGATGACGTCTATGCGAGCCGTCCAGATCTCCGGGCTCAAGCCATAAAGAGTCCAGAGCTCACGCTGTTCAGCGATGGCAGCAGTTACCTACAAGAGGGTGCCCGGAAAGCGGGTTATGCAGTAACCACAACCACTGAAGTCCTAGAAGCTAAGGCATTACCAGCTGGATGGTCAGCTCAACGGGCTGAACTATATGCCTTAGTCCGAGCCCTCACCCTCAGTGAAGGCAAGCAAGTCAACATCTATACAGACTCTCGGTACGTCTTCGCTACTGTGCGCATACATGGGGCCATCTACAAGGAAAGGGGCCTCCTAACCACTGCAGGAAAAGCTATCAAGAACAAGGAGGGGATACTGAGACTCCTCAAAGCCGTCTGGCTTCCAAAGGAAGTAGCAATCCTGCAATGGAAGGGACACCAGAAAGGAGACGACGACCCCATAGCGCAGGGAGATCATCTGGCAGATGAGGCAGCCAAGACCGCAGCCAGTGAGGACATGGACAGAGCCCCTTCCCTCACCATGGCCCTGACACCCTCGGAAGAAGTCCTTCCACCCAGTTACACTAAAAAGGAAAAGGAATGGGCCATGGCTGAGGGAGCCAGCCTGCCTGAAAGGGGATGGTGGATGATGCCAGACGGGCGCGTCTTCATTCCAACAGCAACTGGAGGGCATCTAGTCAAGGAGCACCACCGACTCACTCATCTGGGGAAAATGCATTAGAGCCCTTCTCAGGAAGCACGACTGCGTCAGTCAGCTGCCGGCACTGTGCCGAGCGAGTGAATGGTGCACAACATGTGCTAAAAATAATGCTCGGTCTGCACCACGGCCCCCCCCCACAGGTGTCCAGAGGATGGGAGCAGCCCCCTTCGAAGATCTAGAGGTAGACTTCCCAGATGTGCAGCCGAGCGGAGGGTTCAGATCTCTCCTAGTAACAGTACGCACATTCTCTGGGTGGGTCGAAGCCTTCCCGACCAGGACGGAGCAAAGCCGGGAAGTGGCTAAAGTCCTCTTGCGGGAGATCGTGCCCCGGTTCGGCCTGCCATTAACAATCCATAGTGACAACGGACCCGCATTTGTGGCGGACATTGTACAGGTCTTGACCAAATCTCTCAACATCACCCGGAGACTCCACACCGCTTACTGGCCCCAAAGTTCAGGGAAAGTAGAGCGAATGAATCGCACCCTCAAGGGAACCTTAGCAAAGTTTTGTCGGGAGACTAACCTCCCGTGGCCGGATCTGCTACCCCCAGCTCTCCTGCGTGCTCGCTGCACGCCCGGGACATCAGGTTTCTCCCCATTCGAATTAATATATGGACGGCCTCCCCCGTGCTTGGGAAGCCTTCCAGGAAACTTGCATTAGGTTGGAGATAAAGGGCTACAGGAGCAGCTTCAGGCCCTGGGGGCCACCCTGAATGAATTACAAAAGTACACCACTGAGCAGAGCCCTATCTCCTTCGGGTCTCAGGTACACTCCTTCCAGACAGGGGGCTCAGTTTGGGTCAAAGATTGGAAGAAAAACCCCCTCAAACTGCAGTGGACAGGGCCCCACACTGTTGTTCTAACCGCCCCTACTGCCCTCAAGGTCTCAGGTGTCACCCCATGGGTCCACCACTCCAGAGAGAAGAAAGCTCATCATTCGGACGAGAAGCTGTGCCAATGGAGAGTCCAGCCAAACCCCACAGACCTGCTCCGGCTTCACCTTCGATGAGACCCCACTGACTGATGGACACCTGCTCGTTGTGGTCCCTAGCCCTCATCGGCGTGATATCCCTCATCCCAGGAGTCAGACTCTATACTGTTGCCTCTTCTGACTGGACTTTCCCCCAGAGGCTTGCCATTGTTGTTGTTTATTGGGTCACCTCACGATGTATTACTACACTCACTTGCTCACAGGTTTCCTCTCCCTCACTCTCCAGGCCACAGGGATACTAGGGAGCACCAACTACCCGCCATGTACATGCCAGCATTACCACAAGCCCTCTTGGGCAAATAACCTCGATGTGTGTGCTAAACGCCACCCAACCCTCTGCCAACACGAGGGTCTGTTCTACGTGCCTGGTCGCCCGACAGACTGATGTCCCAACTGCTATGCAGCCCTGCCCCCTGGGGACCCCCCAGCCCCTCCACAGACTTTCCCCACTCCTGTCCGGAAGGCCCCTGCCCGAGCTCCCACTCGAGAACAGACAACACCAACCCCATGGTCTCCCTGTCCTTGTACCTCAGTGTACCCTAGCATGCTGGGACAATGTTATGACTCGAGGTAAGTTACTCTTTGTCACAATAGGGGAGAGACACTCATGACAGGAAAAATTAGGCCCAGACTACACTGGGGATACAGGGATCCGAGATGTTCTGAGGAAAAGGGCCTAACCTGCTGGAAACCTGACCTTTATCAACCCCTGCTGAGGCTTCCTCCCCACTGGGGACCTCTCACTCTAGACCCTCAAATAAATGGTATATTAGAAGGGGTCCACCATTTACTCAACACAACCAACCCTCGGTTGGCTGCAGATTGCTGGCTCTGCCTGCGAACCGGGCCCAGCTCAGCGTAGAGCGAGCCCACTGAGTTTCCTCAACCTGATCAAGCCCACAGGTGACCCTCCCAAACCCGCAGAAATAGACCCAAAACCGGCCGATATATTGTTGTCCTACCCGGCTCCTGACTGTGTCCATAATACTGGGGAAACACATTCAGTAGGAAGCCTATCTGCCACCCAATGTCTCTAAACCTATAGCTGCCTTTCGCTTGATGGGTGCATGTCTGCCACACCATGGTGCACTCCAGAACCTGGCACCCTTGTCATGTGCGGAAAGTATATTTATCGATGCTTGCCAGCTAACTGGGTGGGGACATGTGCATTGGTGCTTCTTACTCCTCAGGTAGACATAATCCCCAATAATCAATCCCTTCCCATTCCCTTGTTGGCATATACAGGGCCCAAAAGGGCCGTCCAATTCATCCGACTGTTGATTGGATTCGGCATAACAACGGCTGTGGGCACTGGAATAGGAGGAATCGCCTCATCCTCCAATTACTACCAGAAACTGTCAGAAAATCTCGCAGAAGATACGCAACAGGTGGCCAAGTCTATAATGACTATACAAGATCAGACAGACTCCCTCGCAGCAGTGGTACTACAGAATCGGAGGGGCTTAGACCTGCTCACTGCTGAAAAGGGGGGACTTTGTCTCTCCCTAAATGAGGAATGTTGTTTTTATATGAACCAATCAGGGTTGGTCAGAGACATGATCCAACAACTACAAGATCGGGTTGCACACAGGAGAGAAGAATTAGCAAATTCTTGGGGCAACTGGTTTAATATCTGGAGCTGGGCTACATGGCTCCTTCCCCTAGCCGGTCCTCTCCTCATGATCCTATTGGCATTCCTGTTCGGTCCACGTATTATTAATCTCATCACCTGATTCATCAGCTCTCAGAATCATTTAAATTACATCTACTGGCAACCCAATACAGACCTCTAGACTGGCAAGAACCCTAATAATAATCGATGCCCATTCAAGTAAGAAAAGGCATCAAAAGGGGGGAATGAAGGGGAAAAATCTGTGGCCACAAGCCACAAGCCTCCTTAGCCTCCTTACCAGACTACCTTTTTAACTCTCAAGAGGCTTCAGAGGATGTATGACCCTTTAGTCATCCTTGAAGGAAACCTTCTGTCTAAAAATCCAATATGCGCTTATTGATAAGCTACTTCAGACTGAAGATGGGCTTTTTAAAGAGGGGGCTGTTTCCCTCAGAATGACTTTAAAAAGCACCTGCTTTTTACCATGCTCAGCTCCCCCCACCACCAGGGTGACACTCTCTCTAATGGTCTACTGTCAGGACAATAACATTTCTTTATGCTGTTACCAAGCAAAGCATAACAGCAAGGACACAGTGCAATTCACTAGCTAGTCTTGCATCCAAGACCTGGAAAATAATTAAGCAACAATAAAAGTGAGGGACGCCTGGGTGGCTCATATGGTTAAACGCCCAAGTCTTGGTTTTGGCTTAAGTTGTGATCTCAGGGTTGTGAGATCAAGCCCCGTGTCATGCTCCGTGCTCAGCACGGCGTCAGCTCGAGACTCTCTCCCTCTGCCCCTCCCTCCCCCTGGCACATGCACTCCCTCTCTTTCTCTCAAATAAATAAATAAATCTTAAAAAAAAGAACATTAAAAGTGGGAGAATAAAAGCAAAGCAATAAGCCTAGACCAGAGCTTGGCACATAGTTCATGCTCACTAAGGGTGAGCTGAATGGAAGGAGTGCAGTATTAACATTCCCAAGATATTTTAGCAATAATGAAAAAGCTTCTCCCATTGTGGTTTAAAATCTCAATAGTATATAGATTGGTATGCTGTGTTTTCCTATTAAGACATTAATTTTTCAATATACTAAACAAATCCCTCTTTTCTAATTGGTTTAAGAATAGGAGGGCCAAGTGTTAGAGACATCAGAAAGTTTTAATTCTCAGAAATATGTCCCCCATTGCCATGCGTCACATTGCCATCATAACCTTAGATGGACCCCATAATGCCATTTTTGTTCTGGAGCCCAAATGGAGACGGGTTATTCTGGTGCCCCTGCAGCCCAGAACACCCATGGTGAGATCATGGTTTTGTGGTTGAGTAGGAAAATGTCTTTTTTTTAAAGAGCTGCATACAGAGATATCTAGCATCAAAGTAGGATATTTATAATTTAACTTTGATACCTCAGCAAAAAACTCGTATTTGAAACAACTATGTCAAAATGCTAACACATGTTTAACCTGAGTGGTAAGTATATGGTACTAATTATACTATTCCGTTTGCTTCCCTGAATATTTTCATGATGAAAAGAAAAGAAAACCCTATGTGTTTGGGGTGGGGGGCATGCTTTCCAGGAGCTCAGTCTAATAGAGGAGACAGAGGTAAAGAGATAAACAGAATCCGGAGTGATACAGGGAAGCATGGGGTGCTCTGGCCTACACAGAAGTCTCCTAATCTGGCTAGCTTGGGGAGGGTGGTTAAGGAATGGTGACTCTTAAACTAGTTCTTTTAAAAATCAGTTTTATGGGGATGCCTGGGTGGCTCAGTCGGTCAGTTAAGCATCTGCCTTCGGCTCAGCTCATGATCCTGGGGTCCTGGGATCGAGCCCCGTATTGGGTTCCCTGCTCAGCGGGGAACCTGCTTCTTCCTCTGCCTGCCGCTCCCCGCTTGTGCTCTCTCGGTCAAATAAATAAATAAAATCTTTTAAAAAATAAAATCAGTTTTATTACAAAAGTACTGCATGCCTGTTGTTGAAGTGAGTAAGCCAAGCCACATGCAGGGAGAGATTGGCATTGTAGGCAGATGGACTCTGTATCAAATAACAGAAGCAAGAGAAAGAACATGGAATACTGAGGAGACAGACAGTAGTTCTTTGGTTACAGAGGATGCTGCAGGAGTGACAGGGCATGTGTGATTAGAGAGGGATCAGTCAGGGTCTGAACTTTACCCTGAAGGCTACAGAGAGCTTCTGAAGGATTTTTAAGTAGGGGACAGATGTGCTCACATTTGTGCTCTAAGAAAGTTCACTTGGGCGCTTGGGTGGCTCAGTCGGTTAAGCGTCTGACTCTTCATTTCAACTCAGGTCATGATCTCATGGGTTGTGGGATCAGCCCTGTTTCAGGCTCCATGCTCAGTGAGGAGTCAACTTGAGATTCTCTCCGTCTGTCCCTCCCCCCACTTGCACACCTGCACACTATCTCTCTAAAAAAAAAAGGTAGTTCACTCTTCCGCAGTGAGGAAGAAAAGTAGCAACAGGAGCCAGGAAACCCAGGTGACATCAGAGGAAAAGACACCTTTATGTAATGTGTCCCCAGAGGTGGCACCCTCTGTCAATCATCAGCCAGGAGAAGGCACAAAAAGGTGGCTTTCGGTGAGGCACCACCCCACGGGGGGTGTCTTCCCTAATCAGCTGCCAGCCTGAAGGGGGGGGGTCCTTTGTGGTGTGCCTTTTCAAAAATGGCGCAGAGGTGCCCACTGAGTGGGAGAATGACACGAGAGAGCCACTCCCCAGGGCTGATGCAGCCCTGTACGGCTCGCTTTGCTGCCACACGTCTCCCGGCCGGACCCCACCTCGGTTCGCTGCCACGTGCCTTGTACGGCTAGACACCACCCCTCTGGGGTCACACCGCTCGGGTCTGCATCTCAGCTGTGTGAGCCTGAGTGCGGTATCGCAAGCTGCTCTGCGCCCCAATCCCCCAGCTCTACGATGTAGTCTGGAGTTACGACGTGTGGATTAAACAGCACTGACGAACACCGAGCACTCAGCGCGGTGCCTGGCACAAAGTCAGCGAGTGCTCAACGACTCTTGGCTACCGTTCTTGTGGTTTAACCTTCCCCTGAAATCAGTTTTACGAAGTAAAATGAGTTCTGAAGCCAGGCTTGCAGAGTGATGCTGGCCTTCTTACCGCTGGAGTCTGAGTCACAGTCAGAGTCACTGTCGCTGTCATCAGAATACTTCTTGTGTTTTCTTTTAGAGGATTTTTTCTTTCTCTTTTTCTTGGACCTTTCTTTCGAACGACTAGACTTCCTCTTCTTCTTCTTCTTCTCTTCTACATAAAGTACAAATATCAAATTAACTTCTAACAAGTATTACGATCATCAATTTTATTGTATTTGAAATACTGAAAAAGAACAGATGACAGGCAACTTGAGTACAAGCAGAGTCTATCGTTCGACTATTTATAAACATTTTTTTCAACTTCTCAATACAGCAGCTCTGTAGTATTTAAAAAATACCTTCTGAAGTAGAAGCTGAAGTGGTGCTTTTCTTTGGCTCATCATCCTCTACTGGTGTGTGTTCATCAGAGCTGAATTTAAAGAAGATGGTTGTAAGAATCAGAAAAGTGATAAAATGTGAATCATGGAGTATAAAAATATGGAACCAAAAAACTTCAGTAATGACACCAATTGTCCAAGAACAATTAAAAGCAAACACTGGAATAACTTTGTTCAAGGGTCTACCACCTTCATGATAATATAATAATCACTTATGTTTGCATAAAGCTTTAGAGTTTACAAAGTGCTGTTCAAACTGAAAGCAACATGTAAGATTTATATTTTCTTTTAAGACTTGTTTTTTATTATTTAAGACAGAGAGAGAGAGAGAAGGGGGGAAGGGGCAGAGGGAGAAAGAGAATCCCAAGCAGACTCCCTGCCTAATGCGGAGCCCAACGCAGGGCTCAATCTCACAACCCCGAGATCACGACCTGAGTCAAAATCAAGAGTTAGACACTTAACCAACTGAGCCACCCAGGTGCCCTGTAAGATTTATATTTTCAATGCTGCCTACAAGATACTCACTTTAGACCTAATGGCATGCACATTGAAAGTGAAGGGATGGAAAAACCTTTATTGTGGAAATGGAAGTGGAAAAGAAAGCTGGGGTAACAATACTATATCAGACAAAATAGACCTTATTTAAAAAAAATTTTTTAGGGGCACCTAGGTGGCTCAGTTGGTTAGGCGACTGCCTCCAGCTCAGGTCATGATCCTGGAGTCCCGGGATCGAGTCCTGCATTGGGCTCCCTGCTCAGCAGGGAGTCTGCTTCTCCCTCTGACCCTCCCCCTCTCATGCTCTATCTCATTCTCTCTCTCAAATAAATAAATAAAATGTTTTTTTTAAGATTTTATTTACTTATTTGACAGAGAGAGAGACACAGTGAGAGCAGAAACACAAGCAGGGGGAGTAGGAGAGGGAGAAGCAGGCTTCCCGCGGAGCAGGGAGCCCAGGACCCTGGGATCATGACCTGAGCCGAAGGCAGACGCTTAACGACTGAGCCACCCAGGCACCCAATAAATAAAATCTTTTAAAAAAAATTAAAAAAAATTTTTTAAAGATTTTATTTATTTGACAGAGAGAGAGAAAGAAAGCATAAGCATGAGGAGCAGGAGAGGGAGAAGCAGGCTTGATCCCAGGACCCTGGCATCAGGACCTGAGCTGAAGGCAGATGCTTAATGACTGAGCCACCCAGGCACCCCTAAGAAATTTTTTAAAAAATTTTTAGTAATCTATATGCCCAACGTGGGGCTTGAACTCATCACCCCGAGATCAAGAGTCGCACACCCTACTGACTGAGCCAGCCAGGAGCCCCAGACAAAATAGACTTTATTTTTTTTAAAGATTTTATTTATTTATTTGACAGAGAGAGAGACAGCAAGAGAGGGAACACAAGCGCGGGGGTGGGAGAAGAAGCAGGTTTCCCGCGGAGCAGAGAGCCCGATGCGGGGCTCGATCCCAGGACTCTGGGATCATGACCTGAGCCGAAGATAGACGCTTAACGACTGAGCCACCCAGGCGCCCCCAAAATAGACTTTAAAACAACAACTAACAGGGGTGCCTGGCTGGCTCAGTCAGTAGGGTGTGTGACTCTTGATCCTGGGGTGATGAGTTCAAGCCCCACATTGAGCATATAGATTACTAAAAAAAAAGACTAAGAAGACACAAAGAAGGACACTACATAATAATAAAGGTAATAATTCAACAAAAGGATATAATAACTGTGACTATTTATGCACTCAACATGGAAGCACCTAATACTAAATACTACATTACTTAAAGCAACTATTAACAGACATAAAGAAAAAAAATGACAGTAATAGAGTAATAGTAGGGGACTTTAACACCCCACTTACATCAATGGCTAGATCATCCAGACAAAATCAACAACGAAACAGTGGCTTTAAAGGACAGATGGACCAGGTGGACCCAACAGATGTATTCAGAACACTCCATGCAATAACAGTAGAATATATATTCTTTTCAAAGAGTGCACACAGAACATTCTCCAGAATAGATCACATGTTAGGCCACAACACAAGTCTTAATAAATTCAAAAAGACTGAAATCATATCATGCACCTTTTCTAACCACAAAAGTATAAAATTAAAAATCAAGAAAAAATCTGGGAAGAACACAAACACATGGAGGCTAAATAACATGCTACTAAACAATGAGTGGGTCAAGGAAGAAATCGAAGAGGAAATAAAAAATACATGGACACAAATAAAAATGAAAAAACAATGGCCCAAAACCTTTGGGATGCAGTAAAGGCTGTTCTAAGAAGGAAGATTATTATAGCAATACAGGCCTACCTCAAGAAGTAAGAAAAATCTCAAATAAACAACCTAACCTTACACCTAAAGGAGTTAGAAAAAGAACAATAAATGAAGCCTAAAGCCAGCAGAAGGAAGGAAATAATAAAGATTAGAACAGAAATAAATGATACAGAAACTAAAAAAACCAATGGAACAGATCAATGAAACCAGAAGCTGGTTCTTTAGAAAAGTCAACAAAATTGATAAACCTTTAGTCACGTTCATCAAGAGAGAGAGAGAAAAGACTCAAAATTAGAAATGAAGGAGGAGAAATAACAACCAATATCACAGAAATGCAAAGGATTATTAGAATATTATGAAAAATTATATGCCAACAAATTGGACAACCTAGAAGAAATGGACACATTCCTAGAAACATATAACCTTCCAATACTAAATCAGGAATAGAAAATCTGAAATAGTATTGAAATTGAATCAGTAATCAAAAACTCCCAATAAACAAAAGCCCAAGTTCAGATGGCTTCAGAGATAAATTCTACCAAACGTTTAAAGAAAAGTCAATTCCAAAAAATAGAAAAGGAAGGAAAGCTTCCGAATTCATTCTATGAGGCCAGTATTACCCTGATACCAAAATCAGATAGAGACACTACAAAAGAGAAATACATGCCAATATTTTTGATGAACATAGATATAAAAATCCTCAACAAAATATTAACAAACCGAATCCAACAATACATTAAAAAACTCAATTTACCGGGGTGCCTGGGTGGCTCAGTCAGTTAAGTATCCAACTCCTAATTTCAGTTTAGGTCATGATCTCGGAGTTGTGGGATCGAGTCCCACATTGGGCTCCGTGCTCAGTGCAGAGTCTGCTTGAGAGATTCTCTCTCTCCCTCTCCCTCTCCCCTGTGCAGGCAGTCAGTCTGTCTCTCTCCTATCTCTCTCTCCAGTAAATAAATAAACAAATAAATAAAATCTTTTTTTAAAAGTCATTTACCATGATCAAGTGGGATTTATTTCAGGGATGCAAAGGTGGTTCAAAATTTGCAAATCAGAGGTGCCTGGGTGGCTCAGTCGGTTAAGCATCTGACTCTTGATTTTGGCTCAGGTCATGATCTCAGGGTCCTGGGATCAACCCCTAAGTTAGGCTCCCCACTCAGCAGGGAGTCTGATTGTCTCCCTCTTCCTCTGCCTCTCCCCCTGCTCGTGCACACACACACTCTCTCTTTAAAATAAATAAATGTTTTTAAAAACTGCAAATCAACCAATGTATGCATCACATTAACCAGAGAAAGGAATAAAACCATATGATCATTTCGATAGATGCAGAAAAAGCATTGGACAAAGTACAACATCCATTCATGATAAAAACCCTCAACAAAGTAGGTTTAGAGGGAACATACCTCAACATAATAAAGGCCATATATGAAAAACCCACAGCTCCATTACAAAGGGATTTTTAAAATGAATATATCAGGGGCGCCTGGGTGGCTCAGTCGTTAAGCATCTGCCTTAAAAATCCCTTTGTAATGGAGCTGTGGGTTTTTCATACAAAAACATCATCCTCAATGGGGAAAAACTGAGAACTTTTCCTCTCAGATCAGGAACGAGACAAAAATGTCCACTCTCACCACTTTCATTCAACATACTACTGGAAGTCCTAGTGACAGCAATCAGACAAGAACAAGAAATAAAAGGCTTCCAAACTGGTAAGGAAGAAGTAAAACTGTCACTATTTGCAGATGACATGATACTCTATATAGAAAACCCTGAAGACTCCACCCAAAAACTGCTAGAACTGATAAATGAATTCAGTAAGGTCACAGGATACAAAATCAATATACAGGAATCCAGTGTATTTACACAGTAATAATGAAGTGGCAGAAAGAGAAATTATGAAAACAATTCCACTTACAACTGCACTAAAAATAATAAAATACCTAGGAATAATAAACTTAACGAAGGAGGTGAAAGACCTGAACTCTGAAAACTATAAAACATTGATGAAGAAATTGAATATGACACAAATGGAAAGGCAGTCCATGCTCATGGATTGGAAGAACAAATATTGTTAAAATGAGCATAGAACCCAAAGCAATCTACAGATTTAATGTAATCCCTATCAAAATACCAACAGCATTTTTCACAGAACTAGAACAGATAATCCTAAAATTTGTAGGGAACCACAAAAAAATCCCAAACAGCCAAGGCAATCTTAAAAGAACAAAGCTGGAGGTATCACAATCCCAGATTTCAAGATATGCTACAAAGCTATAGTAATCAGAACAGTATGGTACCGGCACAAAAACAGACAAATGGATCAACAGAACAGAGTAGAGAGTCCAGACATAAACCCACACTTTTATGGTCAATTAATCTATGACAAAGTAGGCAAGAATATACAATGGTGAAACAACAGTCACTTCAACAAATGGTGTTGGGAAAACTGCTCAACTACGTGCAAAACAATGAAACTGGACCACTTTCTTACACCATACACAAAAATAAACTCAAAATATATTAAGGACTTAAATGTGAGACCTGACACCATAAAAATCCTAGAAGATAACGCAGGCAGTAACCTCTTTGACACTGGCAAATGATGTATCTGATAAGGGGTTAATATCCAAAATATATAAAGAACTCACACAACTTGGGGTACCTGGTTGGCTCAGCCAGTAGAGCATGCGACTCTTCATCTAATGGTTTTAAGTTCGAGCCCCACATTGGGTGTAGAGATTAGTTAAGAATA